AGTAATTCTATCAGTTCAAATGAATAGCACTGGTAGCAAAATTGCTCCAGGTATATGCTTAACTAAGTTTTATATAAAAATATTACTCCATCAGAACACTCCTATTTCCTAATTACACTCATTAAAAACATAGCTTATTGGGAGCCCATATTTTTTTTTAAAAAAAAACAGCTTAATACTTATCTATCTCAGGTTGTCTTGGAAGATAATGACAATTGCAAATAATTCTTGTGAGAGTTCTCATAAGTAAGGAAAACTTACATCCAATTTCAGACTTTAAACTAAACACCAGGAAGTAAATATAAAATCCTTATCTTGGAGATAAACCAGATTTGTATAATTCCTGTGTAGCTTTTGAGGTTATGAGTTGTTAAGTACACCCTATCTGTCCATTTGTGAGACTTTATGTACCTTTGGCAAAAACTATGAGGTAAGTGTTTAAATGTGGCTGTCTTTGGTAGTAGGAAGTTTTTATTTCCAGTAAATTATTTTTCCTGGAACAAATAGCAGAAACAGTCTTTCAGTGTCAAACCTTTCTTATTACTTCAACAAATATAAAAGTACATATTCTCTATTTCCCTAGATCCTGTTGTTAGAACCCTACATATGGTCAAGTCTGATGGTAACCAGATATCATTGTAAACTATTTTGACTGATGTTATTTGGCTCCAACTTAATATTCAGCAGTCCCAACCCCAAGTATGTCCCTTGAATCACCTTGTTTCTTGCTCCTCGAYTGCAGTCTCAAAACAAGATTGTGGCTTACTTATACCTGAGAACAGGAAAGATCTCACAACAGGTACCCCTTGGAGCCTGCATGACCTTACAGTAAGAAAATAGCTTTTTTTTCCTCCCAACAGATGCTATGCTATATGCAATGTGATGTTGGATGGTTACATATATTTGGGGTGTGTGTGTGTGTGTGTGTGTTTAAACAATTTTTGTTACTTTCTACGAGAAGGGGAAATGTAAATAGAAAATAATTATTGACTTGTTGTATTCCTTTATTTCTTGTCAAGATAACGTAGTAATTTTAATTTTCACATACTTCCATTCGGTTACATATTCTTGAAGTGTAAAAAAAAAATTGAATTACAGATGACATGTAGCGAATTGTCTTAACCTGCAGGCCATTCTTTCTGTAATCTCTTCAGCATCCAAGAAAACATATGGTGTCTGGGTATCTTTCCAGTGTATTGAGACAGAAAAAGGTCAATAGTCTGTCAAGTTTCATTTATAAATCCTCCCAAGTCAATCTTTAGGAACCCCTTGTTTAATAAAATTCTTACCTCTGTTTAATGTCATGAAATAAAATTACAAGGTTGTTCACATTTTCCACTATCTTTGTATTAAGTGCTCTGATTTCTTAAAGAAAAGTGCTTTTTTTTTATCTTTTGCTACTGTTTTCTTCCTGAGACATCACCATTTCCTAGGAAGTAAACCCAAATTTAGATTTTAATCCTGTGGCTTTTAAACCACATTGTTCAAATCTTGATGTAACTCAACAGGATTCATCTTTTCTTGCTCTATTCCAATTAACCTTCCATGAGAACCAAGTGTGACTTTGACTTATAAGTTACACCTCAGTCTGCTTTTTAATGGGGCAATTTAAAGAATACCTTGACTATTAACATTGACCATGACAAGAGAAAAAGGCAAAAAAAAAAAAAAAAAAAAGAGTCAACTTGCAACACTGCAACTCTGAAAAAGGCATTAGAGAGGATGAGATTGAGTCCACAAATTAATTACACCATGCACCCAGCCCTCAAGATTGCCAGATGGCCAGATTGTAACTGGACACTATATTTTGTCTTCCATGATGTCCCAATATCTTAGGAATTGAAAACCTAAGAATTAATATTTTCCCTAAATTGCAACCAGGAAAGCCTTGAGTTCTATTCCCCCAAAGGGGAATACTACATGAATATTGGAAAGCAGAAGAGAAGCACAAGCCATTATAGAGTCTATGGTGGTAGCGGGCCCCAGTGTGGGCCTGGTAGAAGAGGGTATGATTATGACGGTTGAACTGTTCCTCTTCCTGTGCATCATGCCCTTTAGTGCTGTTGATGTTGTCCATGGTTTACAGGTTTCCTAACCTTCATTTCTCCAGCTCCTCCAAAGTTTTCATGCCTTTAATCTTCTGTATTAAGTCACTTTAGTCTACAAATACCTACGATGTCTTCTCTACTCCTGAATCATGACTAGAAGACTTCACTGATTCCTCCATTTTCCCCAGGTGACAAAGTTCTAGATAATTTTGAGTGACCTAGAAATGAAACCTATGTATAAAGTCCTTTCTGTGTATGCAAATGTCTACTTTTAATGGTCTTAAAAAGGGAGAAAATGAAATAAAAAATAATCAAATAATGGATGATCCTGATCAAATAAAGATGTTTTCTGGATTTTGTTCAGTTGAAACCTTACTTTCTGAGAAGATACATGATAAAATGGGATACATATGGTCACAACCTTGTGAATCTATCTTGGCTTTAATATCTACTTCAGAAACTCAGTTTTCTTGATAGATACTTATTGAGTACTTGGTGACAGGAACTGTAAGTGCCTGTAGTTCCAGAAGGGTTAAGATAGTCTCTATCCCCTGCTTTCATGATACTTAAAATCTAGCAACAAAGATTGGAAGAAAAGAGAATTTGCCCTGATACATGGGCATAATCAGGTGCTATGCAGCTTCTCAGGTCATAAAACTATTTTGAGTTCATTATAAGAATTATGAGAAGATATATAAAAATCTTAATTAAAAAATGGTTTGATAAAAGCTGAGTTTTACCTGGTATGATGGCACATACCAATAATCACAATAATAYAGGAGGATGATTTTAAGTTCAAGGCAAGCCTCAGTGATTTATAAAGACCCTGTCCAAAAATAAATGAATAAAAGCAGCTGGAAATGCAGGTCATTACTGAGGTTGCTGGTTCAATTCCTGGTATTACAAAAAGAAGAGAGAGAGAGAGAGGCAGAGAGACAGAAAACAGAGTTTTGAAAAATTACTTGTTTAGTAGATCAAAGTTGATTGTATGAAAAGATGACAAGGTATAGAGGCATCAATTAGCAAGAAAATATATCATCTCAATTTGCAATAACAAGGGTCTGAGAAACAATGGTAGCCTGGAAGACAGGGACGAAGAAAAGTGAAATGCTTCAAGAAACATTTAGGAATTATAACAAAACACAGGAGTTAATTGGATATATGAGATGAAGGCACAGACGAGCCAAGGGTGACCACAAAGTTCAAAGCTTTGGGAACTGGTGTGTAGCAGTCAAGATTGGGACAGGGTGAAGGTGAGATGGATCCCCTAAAATGTCAGGTCCTTTTGACATAGGTTGGGTTTGATCTGCTGGTGAGACCCATGCACACATTTCATTACTCAGTAGAGACACAGGCTGGAAATGCAAAAGAAACATCTTGTCTGAAAACAAAGATTCAAGCATTCTCAGAACATAGATTACAATTGCAGTCACAGGAGTAGATCCATTGACCCAGGTTCAAGTACAGATAGCAGGACAGCTAGACTCAAATTCCAAACAAGTTCTTTAATTTCCCAAATTCCTTTTATTTCAACATTAAAATCACTACATAAAAGATATTTTATTAATGAATTGACATAGTTAATTGAATCAGACATATGTTAATCAATTCATTAACTGAATTCTAACAGTTTACTCATCAAAGCATATAAATTTCTYTCAGTGTAAGAACTCTCCAAGAGAAATAAAATCCTTAACTACAATCTTCTATTAACATCTTAAGCAATGTAACAGCTATGTAAAAGACAAAAAGCTTCTCCTTAGATAGTTTTGCTAAGTCCAACAGAAAAATGAGTTATTCAATTATATGATATAATACAGATATATACTATTTTTGTTAATTTCTTAATCTTTGATCTACTCTTACTTTTACTGACTTAATTCTTTTCCAGTATTCCAAAAGTACCAATCTTTTATTTCTAGCATAGAAGGAATTTAATAAGATTTGTAGTATAAATTTTAAGTATATCCATAAAATGAAGCTCTTCAGCTCATAAAATTGTGTTACAACTGAATACTCACGTTGAATTTGTCTGAAATGTAAGGAATATGCTCACAAATTCCATCATATTTACAAAAATATAACTACAATGAAACTTCTTTAACAGCATCCAGTGAAATGTGACTATTTTTAAAATCTGTCTTCTTTTTCATGAACATAGAATGTTTTAATTATCTTTGGTTAGGTACTATTAAAATAAAAAATATATTAATAAAATCATTAAGGAAAAACTACTATAGGATCTATGTTCTGTTATTTATTGGTACATTTTATTATGTATATATTCATATAGACAATAAATATATAGTTACTTTGAGGAAAAAATAAAAGAAATTGGTGGAAACAAAACATTTGCAAGGTGTAATGAATCAAGTGCTTTTAGTTTTTCTTACCAGATGAGTCAATTTTATCAAAGTTATATATTTTTTAATCCTGAATGGGTCCATGGAAGATGAATTCCAAAGAAAATAATACTTAAGTGTTCTGTAAACATGTATGTGCCTGTGCAAAAGTTGCTTACAAATAGTCATATGTTGCAAAATGTTGTAAAAATTATATTCTAATCTGATTTAATTTTAGTGCAAATTTTGTTCCAACACAGGAATCATCACAGAGATCATACAGATTCCGAAAGTTATAACAATTAGCAATAATTAAGAGAATTAAGTTATTTACTGATTATGTAATAGCATCTATACAAAAGCAGGAAAAACTTGATATGAGAAATTCAATAATGGTTCATATTTTTTATAATTCTGAGAATATCAGCCTTTGATTCCGAGTTGAAAAATAATTCACAAAATGTGCATTTGCTTGTATGAGCAATTGCTCACTGAGTACTAATAATTTTCCTTAACATATTAATTGTCTAGCAAATTTCAGTTTATGCCTTTGAAACGATCTTGAAGTCATTCAGTTAGCAAAATTTTCCTATAGCMTCCTCTTCTGGATTTCACATATGAGAAGGACAATAAAACCAAACACCATAAAGGAGCATCTATGGCTCCCTAGAGAAATTCGTGTTCAGAAACTTTTCATCAGATGAGGGGGAAGCAGGGAGGACACAGAACAGAACCCCCAGTACTTGTCCTGATGTGACTTGAAAGTTCACTTATTGTACTCCCACCTTTTAGCAATGCTGATAATGTCAATTTCTTGTTCACTTTGCCTTCCATCTGGGAGATGAGTCAAAAGCATTTCTCCCTGTTTTGACTCTATTCAATCTACCGTCTGAGCAGCGGTAATGAAACCATTTTGTTGTTCCTACCTTTGAATACGAGTAAATTCACCAAGGCTCGCCCTATCAGTTTTTCAGGAATTATGCTGCTAATACTTCCATTAAGATGCTTTTCTGTCCTTAAAATGGGAGACTCCGGCATACCTGTGAGCCTTCCTTAATCAGGTTGATAGCTCTGGTCAGAATTCATCCCTAAGTTTTCACACCTGTTTCCTTAGACATTGGTAGCCTCAGATAAAGAGTCACTGGGGCCATTGTGCTTTTTGACTTCCAGGTTCTTTTTAGATTTGAGTGTCACAGACACCTCCGAGTGAATGGCATCCAACCTCTGCTCACAGCGGAAGGCTGAGAGGAAAGCCTTCCTGTAGTTGCTGTTCATCCAGCCATAGAGAAGAGGGTTGGCAAAGGTGGAGCACATGGCGATGATGTGGAAGACCGTGAAGATGAGTTTGTACTCCTTCAGGTCCAGCACATGGTGGTCGATGTCAACAGCAAGTTGGAAGGCGTGGAGGGGCAGCCAGCTGACCGCAAACACCACCACCACACACACGAGCATCTTGGTGGTTTTCTGCCTTCGCTGGTGGTAGTGGTCATTTGCAGCTCCAGGGCTGACATGGTTCTTGAGTTTACTCCAGATACGAGTATAGGAAAAAGATATGATGCCCAGAGGCAAAACATACAGAATCAACAAAGTGGAAAGACTATAGATAGTGCCATACATGCTCTTCTCCTCACCAGGCCATTTCTCAGTACAGGCCACAATCTCAAAGTCTGGAATAATTTCAATCAGTGAGTACTCCCGGAAGATGGCCAGGGGACTTGCCAGGAGGGCACTGATGCCCCAAGCCAAGCCAATAATCAGGAAGCTGATTCGCTTGGAGATCTTGCTCTCTAGGTGGTAAACGATGCACCGATGTCGGTCAAGGGCAATGACAGTCAAGGTGATGGTGGACACCTGAACTGCCAGGCCCTGGGCATATGGCACCAGGTGGCACAGGACAGGACCCATTTTCCACTCCCCCATTAAGGTATAGGTAAGAGTGAATGGTAGGCACAAGGTATTCACCAGAAGATCCGCCACGGCCAGGTTGGCAATAAAAAAATTGGTTACTGTACGCATGCTCTTGAATTTGATCACCACGTGGATCACCAAAGAGTTGCCAACTACCCCAAGCAAGATGATGGAGCAGTAGGCCAGTATGAGGATAACACGTACCTCAACCAGCTTGGTGCTGTCTATGAGCTCTGGCTCAGGGTCAGGGGCCAGCTCACCCCTTGGAGTGGTGTGCCCTGCCCCATACTGCTCCACCTTGGTTTCTTCCACTGTCTGGTTCTCATCAGACTCGGCACCCACTGGTCCCATTTTTAGCACTGTTGCACTTGGCCTGCAACTAGATCTACAATTAAGGGAGGAAAAGAAAAACAGAACAAATATGAAACATGGAAATTGCAAAGGTATTGTAAAATATATCCCAAAGGGACTGTTTCAATTTGGCTGAGGCTCAATATATCCGTCCTTCTTATTTCTAAAATCGCATCTAGTATAGCATCTTGATAAAGCAGGTCCTTTATTAAGTCTATGCAAAAAAGAAAATGGATCAATTAAATCAGGTCCTAAACAATCTATCCAAGGATGGGAATATAATATTTTTCTACAGTGAGAAAAAGTTCCAGTATGGATGCTACCTAATGGATCCCATTCATTTTCAGTGGGATGAACATTATGAACTTGACTGATGTTATAGCTGCTACAAATTCACCCAGTTAATTTTAAAGAAAATAAAGTTTCTTTCACTACTTTCACTGTTTGAAATTCTTCAATATACAGCAAAAAAATTGTATAAGGAAGGGACAAATATGAAAACCCATCCCATCACAATGATGGGATTTGGCTTCATAACCATTTTTTCTAGTGTAGTGGATGACAAATAATCTTCCCATGTAACACAGTAGAATCCTGCACAGATACTACCTGAGAAGTATGCTCAAGTCTGAGCTCTATCCCCCTAAAATCCCTAAATAAAAAAGTTTTAGCACTTTTCCTTCCCTTTTGCCACCTCCCAGTCCCTGTTTATTTCCCTTCTGTGTGACCTACTCCAGTCTATGGTCTTCCCATTAATGAAATCACCTAAAGTTAAAAATGTCTTCACCTGTGTGCCTCAGCCGCATCTCTCACCGTTTCCTACTCTGGTCTATTCCACACCACAAGAGGATTGAGTCTCATAGAGACATTTGCAGGGTCCCCATTCATCAGGAGTCTGGGATTCTGGCTCTGGAAAGTTAATAGGAGGAACTGGCAGGTAATTAGCAGCAGGAGGAAGGAGGAAGCCTCTGCCTCCTTTCCCCTCCCTCTCTGTTCTGAGCAGCACCTCTGCACAAGCTCCTTGGCTCTGACATCTCTAATACAAACCCTCTGTGATCCTGCTTGCAGTGGAAGGTCCTGGTTCCTGGCCTCTGCCACACTGCCTCTTCTGCATGTCTCTCCAGCCAGGGGGTAGTGATAAATCCCCTGCTGTTGCTAATCCCTGAGTAGCCCCAACATCCCCTATCTGGCTTCCATCACCTGTGTAACCACGTATCTGCATTTGATTCTCTCTTTCACATTTTGAAAGAGATTTGATTTTATATGGTCTGCTGATAGCATGCCTACTTTAGTTTTCTCTCCCACTAAAGGGTCTGCACCCACACATAATGATAACACTGGCCTATGCAGGGGAATCCAATCCTCAGTATGACATTCACATCTTGATGCCCTCCTTGCCTACTCCTTTGGCCTCATCTCGACATCCCAATGTATACTCTGTCACAATGAACTGCTCTCAATCCCAGCATCACTTGGGCTCTCTCAGACCTCCCTCTGCTGTCTGTGCCATACAGGAAGCCTCTCAGTTATCCCAACACTTGTAAGACTGCACAGGCCACACTGTGATGATTCTATTTTGTTCACCCCACCACAGCAATCTTTTCACAGGCAGAAGAAGCTAGATCTTTTTCATACGTTATTTAATCCTGAGCACCAAGCAAGACACTCCAGACACTCAATAATTTGGCAAAACAAATATGAAACTAAAGGAAAGCACAATCAACATCAGCTATTTAATTTAAAAGTGAAATTTTGATCCTTTYCTATGGATATAATTAACTATACAGGATTTCTTGCCATGACATGCCATCCTTATGCCTGTTTTGTCCTATTTAATCAGATAACTGCTTCTACACGAAAATTATCCAAAGAAACTCTAGGTCAATTCTTGATTGTAATCATTTAAATTGTCAGTATACACCACAAAGAAACTTCTCTAATATGTGTGTGTGTGTGTGTGTGTGTGTGTGTCTCCATTTCTCTTGGGTTCTCTCTCTCTTTGTCTCCTCTCTCCTCTCTCTTCTCTGTTTATTTTAGGCCACCCCCCTTCATAGTACCCTTACTACCCAGAGGAGTAGTAAGGAGTTTCCATGAACTTGTGTATTTGCTATATTGACTTAGATTCTAGTTCCCTCTGCATAAATTTCAAACAGAATATTCCAAGTAGACCAGGTTTTCTTTCCCCTTTGCTTCCCTTCTCTAGTAAATAGAAAGAATGGAAACAAGACATTCAGATCATGGAGCATGCATTTGATAGGTTCCACCATTTCCTTTAGAGTAAGAACTGACTCTACAGAACACAATTAGTCAATCCAGACAACTCATTAACAGAATTAACGAGACTCGAGAAGTCAGTTTGGAGATTTTAGCAGACTAAATTGAGAGTAAGCATGAAATCGAAGGACATTAAGAAGGGGGTGTGTATTTGATTCATTGACTTAGTTTGMTCTTTCTTTTCAGTCTTATTTATTTCAAAGCCCTCTTATTTAAACCTTCTCTGCAGGAATGGTTATTGATCTATAAGCTATTAGCATATGGACATGATTAGATGCTTGTAAGCACACTACTGGCTTTCAGCCAGTTCAAAACATTACCCAGAGCAGAGAATCTGTCACTTCTCAGTAGCACTTCTGGAAAAGTAGAAGAGGAAAAGAAAGTACACAAAGGAAGTTGCCCATAGAAACTCAAAATGTACAAAAATTACAAGAAACGCAGACAAAGAAGAAATATTTTCTTGAAATAAGGCAAAATAAGGCATTCACAGTATTCAAGAAATTTAAGGAGAACTTGTGAATGGCATAGTTTTCTTGAACAAGTGAATGTTTAGTTATTTTGTTATTAAAACATTTCTTTGTAGAATAGGAAATAAGGTTTGAGGTTTGGGGTTTCTTTCTTTCTTTCTTTCTTTTTTCCTTTGTGTCTCCCCCTGAGATTCAAAGCAACTTATAATGAGTCTGAGAGCCTTCTTTTTAAAAAAAAAATAATATTTTTTGGTTGTTGATAGACCTTTATTTATTTATTTATATGTGGTGCTGAGAATCAAACCCAGTGCCTCACACATACTAAGCAAATGCTCTACCACTGAGACACAACCCCTGCCCTGTAAGCCTTCTTTTTGACTACATACTTATATCTATGGGATTTTTGCAACAGTTCTTTCTGAAACATTATTGGCCCAGGTTGGCCTTAGTGAAGCCTGTCATCTTACCAAGCACAGCATCTTACAGTAATCTTTTCTTAGGGAAAAATCTCAGAAATCATGCCACACACCTTAGGTTGCCTTCACTTGTTAATCCTGGGATATGGAGAGAAGAAACTTTCCAGAATGATGCATGCAAGGCACGATTGTGTGTCTAAATCCAACATTAAGTGTATAAACCAATGAGTCTGGGATTGTGTCTCTTTCACGTGTTTGAGCTCCTGACCTTTACTTGAAATCAGCGTTTTCTGTTTCATGTCCCTAGGTTTTTAAATGATATGCTCCTATTGAGAAACATCTTTAAAGCTTTTCATCTCACCTCCTTTCCCTTCACCATATGTTCCTACTGGTGAGTGAGCCCTGTTTTTTTTTTTTTTTTTAAAAAAAAGAAAAAAACATGAGTGAATGTTTAAGTAAATGTATTCTTGATCAGCTTTGGAGGATCCAATATGATCTTGCACTTTAGGCAGGCGTTTGATTTTTAAAGAGAAGGTAAACAGGAACAACCTGCCTATTTCTAAGAAGGCGCAAGGGAATAGTCAAGAATCTTCAGGAAAGGAAAATTCTAGCACAAGGAGAAAAGGAGAACGGCATAAACTCCCCCATCCCCACTACCCACCTAAATGTGGCTGGGAAGTGGGGGATTACGCTTGGAAACACCACCCCAGTGCCTGTTTCTTAGGACCCTGGGCTTCTTTGGGGATGTTCAAGTTCCCAGAAGGGGAATCAGAGGTAGGACTTACTGACCTGGCCCTCGCGTTTCTGCTGAGACTGTAAAACAAGAAGTGTGCAGCCAGTCAGTCCGATGATTATCCGGAGAGAGCCCTGGGAGGCCTCCAAAGCTGACCCAGTTGTGTTTGCTCCGACGGTCCTGGGCAGTGGACTGCGCGGGCGAGCAGCGGGAGCAGCTGGAGCTCCCTGAAGCCTGGCTGCTGTCTCCGCCGTGGGCGCTTGGGCACCGCACTGCGCTGCACAGTCTCGGGTGGGCGTAGAGGATGGGGCGGCGGGGGGAGGGAGTGGAGGTAGGATTGGGGGCGGGAGAGGCGAACSGCTCCCTTGAAGAAAAAGAAACAGGTTCGAAGGCTGAGGAGAGATGGCCCTGCAGCAGAGGGAGCTGGATAGGAAGTTTCCGTGGCCAGGGAACTGGGGGCGAGGTTCGCTTTTTCTTGGATGCGCCCTGGTCTAGGGAGACCGCGCAACGCAGCTGCCAACCTTACTCAGCGAGGCGCCCCATCGCAGGTCCTACTACTACCTGCAGCTGCCACTCTTACTCCCCTGAACACCCCCAAGTTTGATCCTCTGGGCGTTTGCACCACGCCTACCTTCTTTCATTCCACCAACCCCTCCTTTTACTCTCCGCCCCCAATTCCGCTAGAGATGGCTCCAAGAAGACATACACTGGTCTGGAGCCCGGGCTCACCAGATTCGCAGGGAAAAAGCAAAGGCAAAGGCGTGGCGGAGACACTCAGCTGCAGCCCAGGGAGCTGTGGTCCCCTGCGCGGAGGGCGAGCAGAGACCGCGGGCAGGAGGGAGGCGGGCGGGAGAGACAATCTTCGCACCTTTGCGAAGCTGAGAAAATCCCAGGACTCCCTAATCGGGGTTGCTTCCTATTTTCGCGTGTAGGAGCAAAAGTGGAGAGCTGCACCGGTGCACAACCGGGGAAAAGCGCAGTTCSATTGCACCAAGGACAAATCCTCCGCACGCTGGCCCAAGGCTTGAAAGCAGGGCGCTGGCGTTCCTATAACTGGGTGATCGCTGCGCTCCAGCACCAAGGTAAAGCAAAGTTCAGATCCTTGCTGCCCAGGATCCGCAATTCCCTTAACAGGTGTCTGCGGACAGTTTCAAAGTTGAGTAGCGCAGATTCAGATTGAAAGCTTGGAAGGTGCGCTCTGCAAAAAGCTGGAACAGGAAAAGAAAGGAAAGCAGTTGATCTCAAATAAAAATCAGTATCTTTCTCTAGTTAGCTGATTTCCGGATCCTTTCCTCTTGACTCCTTTCAGACCCAAGCCACTGGAGCCACGATGAGATGTGAGCCTATGTCTGGTTTCCAAGTGCTCAGCTAAAGCTGACAGGACTGAGTTTGTGYGTAGGAGCGAAACAGTATAGACAGGACAGGAAATCAACAAAGCTGCAAGGTCTGTTTCCTTGAGATTCTTCCCTCAGACTCCAAAGTTTACAGCCAGCCTCTTTCCCTTGTTCAGTTTTAGAGGGGGCAGCAGAGCCTACCAAGTTTGAAAACCAAAAGCTTGCAACTGCAGAACACTCTTTCCTCAACCATCCTGTGCTGGGGCTTGGCATAAATCACTTACTACTCTGCCTCAGGATTTGGGGTTCTGTTTGTTTGTTTTTGTTTGTTTTTCTCTTCTGAAATGAGGATGACCACATCAGTTTGCTTGGAGTTTCTCTGAAATATTTTTWAAAAATGCTTTGATTTCTATTAGAGATAATATTCTCCAAAATACTAACTAAAGACTGCCCTCAGAAGGATAGGGTTTTCAATCCTCTGAGGGTTTTCCAACACCCTGATCATATTGCATTTGTAAGAAATCTTTACACAGTGCAATCTGAAATTAATCTTCAACTAATGTTATGCCCATAGTAGTATAGGAGTTGTTTATAAAACAAAGCAGCTTGGGCTTTTTCAACCACCCA